GACTTGACGCTTTTCGTTTCAACAACGGTGGCCGGAACATGTTATATGATTCTCACGATATTTATGATAAGGCGCAGGGTATGGATAACCAGGGGTTTTGAAGGTATAGTGCATTGCACCGAATACTTAGATTAGTCTTACCTCGACTGCCGAGTGGATAGATAGAGCAGATATACTTTATTACATTAGACTTAATGCAATACCAAGTTTGCTTGTGCAGCACCATACATGCATTTGCATTAATCCTTACAGTAACGAATCGAGTGGATTTTTCTGCTGCAATGCAATGCAAAATGACGAACCTGCTACTACTCAAGAAGTGACACCGTAACTTGGGACGTTCGTTATTGGCGCTCGCATTTGGTGGAATGAACTCTCCTTGCAGGTATGACGTATCAGCTACCTATTGTATGCACATAGGTACTGTACACAAAGTATCTGCAACCTTGAATGCGGGCTGTTGACATACATACCTTCTGTCTCTAGACTGCCCATCTGCTTCGATTACTGAAGAAGATTAAAACTCATTTGTTACCCACGTTCGGAGAAATGACAGGACTTTTCACGTATAGGAAGTTTTCCTTAAGTGATACGCCTCCCCTGACTGGCAAGGTTGCAGTCCTCACTGTGAGTTTTTTTTTTCGGACCAAAATCCATGACATATTTTTTACATATTTTCTAGCTTTATTTCTCTTACTTGTTTTCGAGCTGATTTTCTTTCAGGGAGGCCAGACAGGGATAGGAAGAGGTAAGACATGCATTACCCGTTCCAGAGGAGGATATGTTACCCATGTACACATACGCTTGTCATTATCTCTCACCTCAAGTCGTCTTGTCTTTTCCCTAATCCCGTTCTCTAATAAAGAGGATGTGCGTTTTCAACGCTATAAACAGAGATTACTACCCAGCTGCTTGTCCACGGTATACGAAAGATCTTCATTCTCGGTCGAAGCAAGCAGAAATTCAGCGAGGCGCTGGAGTACTGGCGTTCACGGAGGTATACTATCGAATACGACGACAAGTCGAGACTGAGTTTCGTCCAGTGTGACCTGGCCGATATTCGCTCGGTTAAGGATTCTGCAGATCAGATCATGAAGGCTACCGATCGGCTAGATATTGTGATATGCAACGCAGGTAGGTGCTGCGGGCTTTGCAAATTGCCGGCTGAATCCAAGCAGATTCTAGGAGTATGAAGATGATATTAATTAATTGATATTCGGAAACAACAGGCTTAGGCATCGCGAACCAATACAAGCTCTCTCCTCAGGGCATTGAGGCGACATTCGCGACCGACGTCGTCGGCCATCAAGTCCTCGTCACTTTGCTCCTCCCTTTCCTCAAGAAGACGGCGGTCGATTACAAGACTGACACCCGTATCATCGTCACCAGCTCAAGTCTTCACAGTCTCTGCCGCCACCTGGATCTGAACCTGCTGAAGTCGCCCACACCTACGAGGCCCGCATACTACGACGGCATCTGGCGCTATGGCCGCTCCAAGCTGGGGAGCCTTCTATTCACAAGGGAGCTTTCACGACGGCTGCTTGCCGATCCGGACCCAGCTAGCAAGAACATTTACGTTAATGCGTTTTTCCCAGGAAACATTGCCACTGAACAGGCGGATGTTTGGAAGAAGTATTTGGGAGGCCTTCTAGGCTGGCTGGTCAAGAAATTCCTCTCCGTTTTCGGTCAAAGCACCGAAGACGCTGCCGCCTCAGCTATGTATCTCGCGGCAAGTAAGGACATTTCTGATGGTGCCGGTACGCGTGGGCAATATTTCGTTCCCATTGCCAAAAAGCGCCGAACAAGTTCCACAGCCGAAGACATGATACTTGCACGAAGTCTTTGGGTACGTGAATCTGTATGCCATCTTTCTGGGCTTTTATCTAAAATCCGCCTTGCCTCTTCAACGGCTGCTAATGAATAACCCCAGAACTGGATAGACAGACAGGCAACAGAGACCCTTGGGGATGAATGGCCAGACAGCAGGCAGTGACCCTCCGCTGGCATTATTCAATCTTCAAGAGTATCCACGTAGTGAGCTGGTGAAATGAGGACATCTGGAATCGTGTATATAGCAGCTCGTTTCGTTGTGAAACACAGAACCCAAAGTTATGCTGTAAATAAGCCACATTGTTTGGCTTGGTTTGAACGTCTCTCCAATGCTCTGAGAGAATATTATCCCATATCCCAAAGGGTATGAGATGGGATGGTCGAAGAGGAATCACAGGCACATGCCAATCCACTCCTCCCATTTCCGGACGCCGGCTCTAGGATCGGTGTCACCTTCTGCCTTGACAGCACCTCCAACGACATCAACCTTAATGCCCACTTCCTCTAGTAAGTTGAAGCTGAATATACCGTGGCCATCGTCGCCACCAAGAACTTCGTCCTCATCTTCATTGATCCCGGAACCAACGCTAGCATCCATTAAGCCTCTCTTTCGCGACTTTCGAATCCTGTCGATCTCAGTCTCGAGCTTGTTGCGCACGGAACCGGGCGGTAAAGCCGTGAAAAGATCTTGTTTGTTCGCCGCTACTAGAACGGAGACTGGATCTCCAACCTTCGAGAAAGATCTGCTGCCCTTGTTTAGTGCATTCTTCTGGAGGAGAAGGAGGATGTCATGCAGATATCCCGCTGCATCCCTCAGGTTTTCGCCTCCTTCTGACAAAGCAGCAGCATCAACAACAAATATGACGCCACGAGTTCTCTCTTTTTCTTTCTTCGAGTTTAGCGACGTTTCCAGGTACGATAGACCTTGGGATCCTCGCAGCTTCCCATGGCCAGGAGTGTCTTTCAGCTCATATTTGACAGGATTCCTTGAAGCTTCGGACAGAGAGGGGTCATTGACCGAGCGATAACGGTTCGAGGCGATAGGAATAGTCGGAGGGAGAGTAATAGTTGCAACGGTAGATGTCTGGGATGTATGAGTGGGTCGTGCTGCTTTCGCAATGCGTGACGAAGTAGACTCAAGCTGTCGGCAATGTCAGCTATGCGTTCTGGGTTTCCACTTTGACAGCCTACCAATGAAAATAAAGCGGTTTTGCCAGCCCCGCTGGGGCCAAGGAGAATAAAAGAAGATGACTTGGGAGATGCTGCGGTTCGATAAAGAAGGTAATGAAGGAGAAGGGGAAATCCGAGGGCAATTGCCACCGTCACCAGGATTGCGATGGGATTGGCATCTAGCAGATTGGTCGCAATATTCCCAATCGAGTCCCAAGCCAAATATCTCCCCATCACGCTGACCAACTGGATATGAATACACAGCGTGATCGTGAGGGGCGCAAGGACAAAAGAATAAAATGACAAAGGACGTGGCTGAATATACTCCGTAGAAGCTGTGCCACGCAGCTTCGGAGCATGCCTGCCAGGCACCTGGGATGCGGGTCTGCGGTGCCAAAGTGGCTTAGCGCCAGGCCACATATATCAGCAGCGATCATCATGTTTGTTGCATGCCAGGACGACAGCTGCGTTGGCCACATATTCATTTCCTCCCCTTCCATGTGAGCCGTCTCTCGTTTTGGTCATTCTCTTCTCCAAAGCACTGTGTTCCAAGATGAAGTTGACCCATACTTTGTCCCTCATTCTATCTCTCTCCGCCGCCGCGCTGGCAGATGTTGAATTCCTAACTCCCGCCGCGGGATCTACGGCCAGGGGTGGTGACACTTTGACCGTTCACTGGAAGGATTCAGGGAATCCCCCGAAGCTCTCGGAGCTCACCAACTATGATCTCTTTCTTTGCGCCGGAGGGGATTCCGAGGATTCTAGTGTAGGCATATCCACTTGAGTTAAGACATGGACGACCAGGAACGCTAACGGTCTCTTCCGGATCACAGCAAGAACTCGCGCATCTTATAAAAGACGGGGTTTTTGAACGAGGGAATTCCGTGTCATTTAGGGTCGACACGGATGTTGGCGGCAACGATCCGAATGCATAGTATGCCCCTTCTCGCATCGATTGGTGTCTTGGACATTTTCTGACGGAGTACGGGACCTACAGCTTTCTCAAAATGGTCTCTTATGGGCCGGGCACATCAGTGACCAATTATTCCCCGCGGTTTTCCCTCGTTCAAATGACAGGAACGTTCTCTGACCGTGTTAAGAATGGCCTTCAATCTTTGTCCTCGGAAACGGGGGCATCGGAGGAGAATCACGCGCAGCTCGAGAAAAGACAGAACGCCGGGATGTTTACCGTGCCTTACCAAGATCAGCTAACTGGGCTTACCAAATATGCACCCATGGCCAAACAGCCTGGGACGACGATAACTGCAAAGAATCCCAAGCGGCAATTTCCCACCAGTTCCTATTCAATAGCCACGACATATCTGCCAATACCCACAGTTCAGACTACCATCACTGCCAGTCAGACCTTTTCCGTATCAAGCATCGAGAATACGGTACGTACTACATGCATACTTTACATCCTTCTGTGTCAGGTACTGAGTGTTATTCCCCTCTAGGCCACTCCTGCACCACAACCTTCAAACGATATGAAGAGATTCCTCAAGAGATGGGCGGATTAAGACTTTATACTATGCGTGGAATTCTAGAGACGACTGGAGTCCGAGCTTAAACATGGGCTTTAACGACTATATATCTGTTTGTATGTTGAATTTTCCGTGTAGTTTGTTTGGCTTTTGTTTGGACCTGGCGTTTTGGATACTACTCTATGTGAGGGTTCAATGGTGTGATTTTGCACGATAAAGGTTGGAGTTGGTGCGAGTAATCGCGCATGTGATCTGCTGACTCGAATTTCTCAATGTAATTCTATCAATGAAAGTGTACTCCTGTACTATTATAAATCAGTCGAGACAAGTGGGATGGATATGCTAGCCTGAAACCATGGTGAAACAAAGGACTCTTCGTTCATGCTCAGATCAAAACAAGAGATGTAACTAAACCTCCTTGTTCACCTTTCTCTCTATCAAAGCAGGCGTGACAGGCCGGCTAGGTCTTTCACTGGTTGGGAAGAATGAAATGTTTTCTCGAAGCGCGACATACTCGCTGTCGGCGTAACCCAGAATAGATTGAATCTGAGTGCTGCGAACCCCCTTGATCCGATTGATTTCGGAACTGCCATAATTAACTAGCGCTCGACCAACCTCTCTAGGCTCCTCTGCATGGGAAATAAAGTCTCCATCGAGGGCAGTTGCTGAGCGTCTGTCAACAACAAATAGTCGAACCGCTTCTTGTTGAGCGAAATGACCCTCGACACCGACCACACCTGCGGGGAGAAGACCGGCTTTATTCTGCAGCGCTTCGAATGCACCTTGATCGATATACACAGATCCATGTGGCGTGAGGCCATGTAAGAGCCAGAAAGACCGCGACTGGATTGGTGTTGCTGACGGCAGGAACCGCGTGTGAAGGGGCGGTTGTGATGTTGATGACGTGGGATGCTGAGGATCAGAGCCTTGCTCTTGAAGATATTTCACAATGGCATGCACGTTTCCAGGCTTGGAGCTCTTGGTTATAATTGTCGTGACACCAACACTGGTTGCAAGTTTGGCAGCGACGATTTTCGTGCCCATGCCACCAGTTCCCAGTGATGAGCCGGCAGTCGAGACATCAGCTGCCAAATTCGCAATATCAGATACAACCTCAATCGGCTTCGCATCGGGATCATTTCGAGGGTTGGAAGTATACAGGCAGTCCACATCTGTCATAAGGAAGAGGTAATCCGCGTTAACCATGGCCGCTGTAATTGCGGATAGAGTGTCATTGTCACCGAATTTGATTTCCTAATAACCTTGAGCTGTTATTCTTTCTTCCATCTGTCGATGAGATTCCGTACCGCAACGGCCAGAGTATCGTTTTCATTAACAATAGGAATAACGCCCATAGAAAGCAGCTCAGAAAAGGTATTCTGAGCGTTAACGTATTGCGTCCGCTACTCAGAGACACCATAAGTATACAGAAGTCAATGAACGGGGCAAATAAAGAGGGGAAATTTACATCTGCTATGTCATTCCTTGTCAATAGAATCTGAGCGACAGGAATGCGAAGGTGCCCGAAAAGGCTGTCCCAGAGACTCATGAGTCTGCATTGTCCAACAGCGGCCAGCGCCTTGACGAAAGCGGGTCAGTTCGAACAAGACATGCATTTCAGGGCCTGGATGTCTTAGGCGCACTTGTATACGAGGGAGATGTTTAGGTCTCTCCTCCACATCCATTCTCCGTAAACCCACGCCAATGGCGCCGGAAGAGACCAGAATGACTCTGTGCCCATCTTTTCGCAGTTTCGCTGCAGTTTCGACTATTAACGTCAGAATCGACAGAATGGGTTCATGCGTAACTTCGTCAACAATTGAACTAGTTCCTGCGACAGAGAAAATTCAGTATTCGCACATACTCGTCTTCAAGCTCGGAATTACTCCGCACCTAGCTTGATAACAATTGTGAGGCTCCGAAAGCCTTTTACTTTATTCGTCATGGCTTGAAGGTGCCTGTCTATTTTGAAATCAATTCACAAGAGGTATAATAAAAGAGACCCATCTCAAAGACTGACAAAAGAACAGTCAGGTTGCGGAGTCATAGACCGGAGATTCTTATTGAATCATTTTCTTTTTTGGTATTCTGCCGTTTGGTGCCGCTCTCTGCGGAGGAGAAACGGCGAGCCCGGAGATCATTCAGAACCGTGCTCTTAATCTTCGACCTTGGTCAACCTAAAGGCCATTCGTTACTCATGGCAGACTCAAAGTTACCGGAGCCGGAGTCCCGTTCCAGCTCATCGAACGACACAGGATATATCCCAGGTGATGATCTATGGACACAATGGCGGAACATCTTCGCCATCTTGACGGGCAAGATGTCCGAGGAAGGAAAAGAGCAGTTCCGGATCGCAAGAGACATTCGGAATGAGGCCGCAGATTGCAAACGATGCGAGGAGCAGCGTGACTATCTCCTCAAATATAGTAAGTTCCTTTCGATAGAAACTCTGTTCTTTTCGATTTCCTTCACTACTTAGGGGTCCTGAATGCTAAAACATAGAAACCCTGATTTAGGCCCCATTATACGGTTCCTCAGCGACAATATCCGTCAACTAGGCGGCGATCTTTCGAGTCACAATATCTACTGCCGTCGCTGCACACAGAGAAAAGCTGGTGGATTTGACCCCGAGTATGGCATACAAATTTGCGCAAATGAGATGAGGGACCAGGGTCACCTGGAGGATACCATGGCGCATGAGATGGTACATGCATATGACCACCTAAGGTTCAAATTAGATTGGGACAACAATCTTAGACATGCAGCGTGCACTGAGGTATATTTCCAGCGTCCCGGGCTATGTGGATGACAGCAGGTTCTTATCCTTGTATTATAGATCCGAGCCAGCTCGTTAAGCGGAGAGTGCCGATGGGCCCGAGAATTCTTCAGAAGAGGCCAATGGAAACTAACACAACAACACCAGGAATGCGTCAGGCGAAGAGCTATTCTCTCTGTTAGGGCACGGCCGAATTGTCGGGATGAGGCTCACGCGGAGAAAGTGGTTAATGAAGTGTGGGAAAGTTGCTTTCGAGATACACGACCTTTCGATGAGATTTACCGATAACACACATGTACTATATATTCTACCAGACGAGACGCATAGTATGATAGTGTTCGGGTTTGTGTGGACAATATTGAATGCATAAATGCCCAATTAACTTTAGCCAGCTTGAGAAAACCGTCCTAAATATCTTGTGCAATGATTAATGCCGAAACACCGGTAGAAAAAAAAAATCAACCCATACGCCCAGGGAAAAAAAAGTCCAGAACTCCTCGAATCAAATAACCGAGAAACCAACATCCGACCCTATGACCTACCATCCTTGGAATTGGAACTTCGTTGTGTAGCTCTTTCTCCTTTCACACAATGTTTGATGATCCACGGATGCTGCTGAACTTCATCAAGAGGCAATCGCTTTTCAGGATCGAGGACGAGCAACTGCAAAGTGTCAGTACATGGAGAGAAAAAAATCAAGGCTACCCTTGCCATACCCTCTTGATCAGATCTCTTGCCTCGGGACTGACGAAAGAGGGAATCGTCATATCTCCTCTGGCAATCCTCCTCTGGGTCATCACGGGAGTGTCCTCAAAAGGAGCTTCTCCAACCAGGAATTCATATGTAAGAACACCCAAACTCCACAAGTCCACTTTCTCGTTGTAGTAATTGTCCTGCGAGCCTGGCTTAAGCATCTCCGGAGGCAGGTAGTCGAGAGTCCCGCACATAGTTTGCCTTCTGCTGTTTGGCGCGTGCACACTCCACCCAAAATCACTTATTTTGATCTCTCCGTGAATCCCAACAAGGATGTTTTCAGGTTTGATATCGCGGTGTATGACGTGCTTTTTATGCAGATATTTCAGGGCAGCCGCCATTTGTGCAATATATTGAGCTGCTTTCCACTCCGGAAACCGGTGCTCTTTCCGAAGGTGCTTGTAAAGCTCACCTTTACCAGCGTACTCGAGAATGAGGAAGATACGTTTGCTATCGTGGAAATGGCCGTAAAGTCGTAAAACATTTGGATGTCGCAAGTTGCTCTGGATTTCGATCTCTCTCCGGACTTGTTTCTGAACACCGCCCTGCTGCAGCTCCGACTTGTGGAGAACCTTGAGAGCGCAGATAAAGCCGGAAGATCGTTCTTTGGCAAGATAGACTCGACCGAACTTCCCCTTTCCTAGGGCTTTGCCAATCTCGAACATACCCAGATGTAATTTCTTTGGCGCGGGCTGTTCGTAGAGAACAGGTGCGTTTTGCTGCGTATTCTCGTCAGAAACTCGAGTTCCGCTGGAGGTATGAACTCCCTGCTGGTCTTTACGATGTGGCGAAGCAGGTGGGTTTGCATTTGTTTTCGATTCATTCGCATTTTGCAGAGCATATTTCAGCATATGATTCCGATTTGAAGTTGACTGCTGCGCTGAAGTCCCAAGACCCGATATAGACACTGCCGTTGAAAGAGAGCCCTATGGCCAGTTAAATTAGTCGTTACCAATTGCCGGCAAGTTAAAAAAAATAAATACCTTGGGTTTAGAGAGACCTTTCCCTGAAGGCTCATTCTCGTCGTTCACCGACAAATGCTCAAAACGAGCTTCCAAAGTCTTTGTCGCCATGGTTCAGTAGTATAGACGAGCGAAACGATAGGCTTCAATGGTAAGGAGCAATTGATTTGACCCCAGTCGGAAATTGGTTAAGAAAACATTCTTCAAATGTTAGAAAACAAGGGCTCGCACTCGTAGTCTAGTGAAGTAGAAGATGAGTTGTGAGGGTTGTCCGCACAATTAATGGACCGCAATGGTGATGTTTACCGGGCTTCCTGTCTGCGATCACCCCAGCAACGGCCCGGCCCGATGCTTTATCCGGGAGCTCAATACACCGACGGCTAGCTCTACCACTGCGGGGCATGCCTATGATGTTAATTAAGGGCTTCGATAATAATAATAATAGCTAGTACCTAATTTATCGTTATGTCTTTCTGCTGCTTGTGAACACTATAAGGCCCAAGATCAGGAGAAGAGATACTCACGTCTCTACGACAATATTCTTTCCCACCAACGTCTGTCATTCACGTTCATGTTCACGTAACTCAGAAGATGGCTACCAATGGGATAAGTACTTCGGTTTCAGGGCCCCGCGACGCCCAAACTGCTGCGAAGCCGAACAGCTTTTCGAGAAAGGGCTTCAAAATCACAACACAAAAGCTTCCAATTCTGAAGGCTGGGCCCATTGAAGTCATGACCAATAAGCTTGGAATCACACCGCCGGAGATGATATTTGGCGATAATTTCGTGACGATTGAACATGCTGCCAGTGGGTGGGGGATCACGTTCAATGCATTCGATGCCCTGGACCGCGTCGACAAGACTGGTGCGACAAGGCTGCAAGTCGCTTACTCAAAGGAATGGCAAAAGAGCAGGTGCTGAGCCCCGCATGTGTAGTCGCATAAGCCGTTGCTTTGAGCGCTAATGGGAGCTAGGGAAAACACCCATGAGGGAATCAAGGAGATAGTCAGGCCTTTTGACTGGTCCTACAGCACGGATTATAAGGGCACATTGTACCCTACCGCGAAGCAATTCGAACCATCGACTGTCCCAATACCCATCGAACTACTCAAACGCCCCGACCCAATTCTGTTCTTCGATGATGTGATGCTGTACGAAGATGAACTAGCAGACAACGGCGTTTCCATGCTGTCTTGCAAAATTCGCGTCATGCCTGAGCGACTCCTCCTGCTCTCGCGATTCTTTATGAGGCTGGATAACGTTGTATTCAGACTCAGAGATACTAGAGTCTACATTGACTTTGACAAGCTGGAAGTAATCAGGGAGTATCAGGCTAGAGAACTCGGATATGAGGAAGTTCGACAGGTATGTGGCTCGTTCTCAGCCGTTACTTGAAAACGCAAATGAGCCCTGACATGAAGATGGCGACAGGCCCTAGCTCGGACACGAGAGGATATCCCTGCTGCCATGAGAGACCCGAATAGACTCGCCCAGATCCTGCCACTGGTTGAGAGCAGTTTAGAGCGCGTAACTCTAGGAACATGAATGGACGAAGCACTGTCCGTCGACCGAACCATGCGCATCTAAACCTCGGCCAAATATCGAACGAATCAACAGCCGATCTTGTTGCAATAATCGTAGCAGTTTCCTATTGGAATAATAGGCAACTATGACACCAGTTGATCTGTGCGAGTTGGCAGCTTCGGGGCTGCAACCTCTGTGCAATGGGCAATCGAGCCATCTCCGGCGATAGTCCCCGCTCGTACTGGGCCCTGGCTGGCTGGTGCATCGGGAAGATCTGTCAAACACTGCAAACTCAAACTTGTAGCATTTCACGCATAGGAGCAAGACAGCAGAATAGAGAGCACCTTCAACATCACAAGAATTAAAGATGCCATCCAGGACACTGTGTCCCGATTGCGTACGGGGCCTGGAGACACACTTTTTTCCTCGAATTCAGGTAAACCTAGTTCTCTTCTTAACTGAGGCTTCCAGTGACTATCAAAGCTCATATTGAAAATCTCCACGCAGTTCACCGGCTCCAGGTCCTTTCGCGTCGCTTCTCGTACGTTTTCTGATTTTGCTCCTGCGACCTTCCCCAAGTCGAGCTCCGAGTCCAAGTTGCGACCTTCGCACCCGGTCTCAATCTCAAGATGGCAATGCGATTCTCTCCATTCATTCCTCACGCTTCGCCGAGCCTATTCGCAAACCTCAAGGTTCAATTCTCGAATAGCGCAGAGTCTAGTGTCCCGGTCGAGGAATACGACTGAGACATACGTCTCTTACGGTCTGACTCAGAAATTGTTCGAAGCGTGCTCCGCTCAGGCAGATTACCGAATTCCCCAGGCGGCGCAGAAAGGCGCGGAGATTCCGAAGACTGCCAGTGGTGAAGACCTCGGCGTAGGAGAAGGATGGTGGTACAATAGTTCGTTCCATCACTCTAGTTTTTGTCGGGACTTCATTTTTTTTCTCTCCCCTAAAGGACGTGCATTGAAAGTAACTGGTGTCGAATTTTAACAGATCTCGGTCTCCTTCCAACGTTTTCTACCTGGTCCCAGGTAACTTTTTTACACATGTACCTTCTCACCGTCCGTCTACGCGCACTACCGTCCGCAGAAAGTGTCCGGACCCATTCCCGCCACTTGTTCGACCATTTCTCTCACAATGCTGAACACCGCATGGCTGTGCTGCACGGTCTGTCGAGCCGGAGCATTCGGAACAAATACCTCAAAGACCTCTTCATCCAATGGAGGGGTGTCCTTGCCGCATATGATGAGGGACTTGCGAAAGGTGACGCAGTGCTAGGCGCAGCGGTTTGGCGAAATATATGGAAAGCAAGTCCGACGGGCCCTGACGGCAAGGAGATCGACTGGGCGAAGGTCGCCTGTGTGGTGGCATACATGAGGCGAGTCCTGGTGGAATTGTCTAGACTAGATGAAGCCGACCTCATCTTCGCTGTCGGACAGGAGTACTGTGGGCGCCCTCCCATCTTCGGATACAAGGATGTGGACGAAAAAATGGTCCGAGCGAGATGAGAGCTTGTCTCTCTTGGAAATTTATGAGGGCAACCGCGTGGGGTTCGAAAGTACTGGGAATGGAAAAGAGTGTCGCCGATCATATGCAGGCGATATGCCTCTTTGTGATGCGTTCGCGATATCGCGCCAGAGTTTTGCCAATATCCACATTTGATGGTATAGAGGTTCTATACTTATTTCGATGTATGTATGTACTGTAGAATACCAAATTTGAGCAGGTGAAATTCGAGAATGAATATTGTATTTTCCTCTCTTCTTCCGTTCCGCTCTTCTATCCTACCCCCCTCTCTCTCTCCATTTCTCTTCCCTCCCTTTTTCTTTCTTTTTTTTTCTTCCTTTCTTTCTTATACGAGGACCCTGTCAACGTACTCTCTCACATAGTAGTCTTTAAATACAACAACAAATACAAAATCAAAAAAGAGTTGGAAACATTATCTGCGGCCGCTGTTTCCCATCTCACGCATCCTTCTTTCCAAAGAGATCTTTTTCAACCATGCCTCGACAGATGGGATGATAGAAATCTCTATATTTGTTGAACGTGTCGATTGCGATCTGCTCATCCACTTTCTTCAAACACCGATACCTAAATGAGAGTCAGTAAAGGGGGGTATCTTACTAGTAGGATACGCTTCCTGTCAATGAGGAATCAATGTGAGGGAAAGCTTACAAAGGTCGCACGAATTTCATCCTCCCAACTCTACCCAGCAGGGAGACTGTAGGATCAATAACGGTCTTGTCACCTGCTTTCAACCCAACTTGGAGATAAAGATTCGCAACCTCGATATTTGTGCTTTTCGCGAATCCATAGACCTGTCCCATCAACCGGGAAAGATCAGGAGTCAAGGGTTCCTCAAAGAGAAGAACTTGTTCAAGAAAGACAACGATCTGGTTTGCCGTGAGGTTTTTCACATCGGCTTCCGTAGGTGTGAAAGATGAATCTGGCAGAGAGCGCCATTTCCTCGCAAGCTCGTATACTACGTCAACGAGAGAAGTATCGAAGGCTGGTTTAGGCGGCAGACCCGGTGAGTAGAACCACGCGTCCCAATCTAGTTCTTTCAGGAGCTTTGACGCCTCTGCATCATTTGAGAAGAAATCCATTATCGCGGTCTTAAACTCGTATGAATCAAGCGACCTCCCTCTAAACACGGTGAAATACTGCAAATCTTAGCAATTGAGCTGAGGCACGAGGGGTATTGAACATACATGTGGGATGAACCGATCAAACTTTTCCTTCGTCAATAGATTTTCGAGGTGAAACAGAAAATTGAAACCTTTTTCGTATGGTATTTGTGAGAAGGCGTCGTCAGGATCTTTTCCCTTTAGATCAGGCACTAGCTTGGTGAATTCATGGTCTTTGCCAAAGTGCTCAACGGCATCTGTCAGGCCTTTCCACCCAATAATTGCAGAGAAGTGTCGATAGGCCTCGCCATGCCTGTTGTTTTTTAGTTAGTGGAATCGGAATCTCTTCTCAGTTTGAGACTTACACAGCGCCTAGTATCTGTTGCGACGTCAGTAAAAAATAGTTTTCAACTCCTTACAACAAAACTTACCCGTCGCTCAAGGTAAGTAGTCCAGCCTTCGTTGAGCCAAAAATGCTCCCATGAAGCGTTTGTGACAAGATTTCCACTCCAGCTATGAGAAAGCTCATGAGCAATAACATCCACATTTTCTCGGTCCTAAATGACTCCGTCAGTAGGCCTTGAGAAGTTGTACGGCGAAATATCAAGCTCTATAAATAGACATCTCTAGAATAAAAGATATGCTCACTAACTTTGGATATAAGAGTCGGAGTTGCGAATGTAAAGACCGGGTTTTCCATACCCCCGTACGGAAAGCTGGGGGGTAGAATCAGTACATTGTACTGGCCCCAGGCGTACGGGTAGACTATTTTCTGAATTCAAGTCAGTGTAAAGAAAAGAGAAAACAGTGAGCGCGTCATGTGCAAACCTCAATGGCTTCCATAAACTTTTCTGTGTCTGCTTCGAGCTCCCATTTGCACACATCTAGCTGGTCCGGACTGGTCACGACGAGACTTCTCGGCCCGATGGGTGCTTCTGTCAAGTCCCTAAAATGAATGTTAAATTTTTCACTCGTTTCAGGGAAACATATAGCGGCATGACAACGCACCCACTGGCCAGGGCGAAGAGGTAGCTAGGAATTGGCACTTTCTGTTGGAATTTATAGACATTGTCCTCAGGCCGTGCATTAGAGCCCTGTTTCTGAAGAGGCAATCCACTGGCAACAACAGGAAGTGGGGATTTGATGTTGAAGTCAAATGTGGATTTAATATCAGGCGTATCTTGACATGGGAAGATAGAACGAGCATGAATGGCCTGGCATTGGGAAACTAGTCGGTGTCGTCAATAAGGCGAGTACGTCTATCTACATATGAAGCAATTACTCACACATATAAGGATGTTTCTTGTTAGACGTCTGAGCAGGTGTCAACCATTGGAGTGCAGTGCATTTGTCAGTGGTCTTGACTGATATCTAGAAACAGCATTAGCGAGAGCACGGTTTTGATTGCAAAAATTTGCGCATACATCAACTTCTACTGTCTTTTCAAGCTCAACACCGCTGCCAAGCTGGATCTTCAGTGCACTACCATACGGTTCGACACGGGGAAGAAGCTCCCATTTCGACTGCTGGCCGTCTACTTTGACGTCGGTGATGTCTAAGTAGCTCGAGTCCAGGATGATCTCCTGAGACTCGGCATTGGTCATTGACTTCAGTTGATGAGTCACATTTCCAACCAGCTTTTTTTGATCAAAGAGTATTTCAAAGTTAGCAGTGGTGTGGCAGGTCACCCAGGCAGTATAATTGCTCAAGGTGTTTGGGTCACGAGGTCGGCGGATAAAGCTTGCCATCCTGTAAGTTTGAAGATAAAGAGATATCTGTGGTCGTTTGTTAGAGTAGGAATGAGCAGATCGAAACCCAGCTGTGACAACACGCAGCGCAGAGAGGCGGACAGATTGAAACTGGAAGGTGACCATGTAGCCTTATTGTCTGCAGTCGCATAGAGAGAGGTGACTTTGTCGCGAAGCGGAGAACTCCGAAATTCAGTCTGCCCCTCAACCACCAAACCACACCCGCCTTGTCTCTTTCGATACACAAGCCTTCCAGGGTCTCACCTAGTCGATGTCAGGGACTTGTGGATATAATTCGTATCTCCTTCTAGGCGGGCACCCTACACATATAACTCGCTATACTCTTTTGCCTACTTTTTACTATATTCCTACTATTTTCCTTATTATACATTATGTATGTATGTATGTATTACATGCATGTATCTTGCCTATTTCTTGCCGTCAACAATATACGGAATACAATTTCTTGCGATACAATGCCTCAGCAATAATAGTGGTTGGCAGATTCCATCAATTCGGTGGGGCATTTTATGCAACGTTGCAGGCGCTCAATTAGCGAATTGAAGCCGCTCCCGGCGCCCTTTTTCGGAAGTTTTTTTTATGTTAGAGTAGATGGACGTCGTACTTCGGTAATGTTCTTTGTATTGAAAGAAAGGACCATCTGGTCATCGCGCGCTACCTTGATCCGCGAACAATTTCGAAAGCCTTGGCCGGTGTTCAGTCCAATGTAGGCCTGATCATGAATCGAGACCGTGCAACCGAGTATAGAACATTCGGTCCTCCATTAATACAATCAACCAGTAACCAACTGCTCTAGTTCCTCAGCACTCTTTGGTGCTGATGTCAGATTCTCGTACCCATCGCGGGTGATGTGTACGTTATCCTCGATACGAACGCCTCCCACCTCCCAATACTTCTCCAGCACATCGCTGTCGATATACTTACTAAGCTCAGGAGACTTGAGGAATGGTTCGATGATGAATCGACAGAAATAGATCTGCAGCAAAAAGTCAGCTTGGAATACAACAGCACTCAGCGGTGGAGAAACATACACCTGGTTCGACAGTAATGACACTTCCGGCCGGTAGTCGGCCCCTCACACGCAGGTACCGAAACATGGTATCCTTGTCTTCGTAGTTCGGGTTGCCCCCAGTGTCGTGGGTATCCAGTCCAAGATAGTGTCCAAGGCCATGCGGAAAGAACGCCACGCTAATTCTTTTCTCGAAAAGCTCTTCTTCAGTACCTCGTAAGATTCCAAGTTTGAGCAAGCCCTTAATCGCAATGCGATGCGCGAGAACGTGAACATCTTCCCACAGCACTCCCTCCTTCAGCATTTGCAATGATTCTTGCTGCATTTGTAGGACGATATCATAAATCTCACGAGACTCCGGTGAGAATTTACCGGACAATGGGAACGTCCGCGTGACATCTGCGCAGTATGCTCGATACTCAGCAGCCGCATCGATGAGCAAGTTAAGCTTCCTCTTCTTGGTTGTTGGGTCAATTAAAGGCTCATTGTTGTTTTGATAGTGAAGGGTTGCGCCACTTGTGCCGCTAGCGACTATGGGGGGATACGCTTGATCGGGACTGCCATTTGCAATGCAGGTCCCGATGAACGCAGCCATAAGTTCTCGCTCGTTTGTAGCTGATTTGGCTGTTTTAAGCACCGCCGTGTGTGCCCGGGCAGAAATATCGTTGGCCTTGCGAATAAGCGCGATTTCATATTCGTCTTTAACAACCCGTGTCTCCTCAATTGCTCTTTTAAGAATGGAGAAATTGGTCTCGGCAAATGGAAGAAATGATGTCTCCTCCGACACCTGTTCCGGAATGGCAAACACGACTGCTTTCCCGCTGCATTGAGACGCTAGGTGGGCGAGCGTCGGGTTGACTTCAGTTGTGAGCAGGACACGGTCGACATCGTAGATCTCCTGGGCTTCGGCCGGAGACAAGGGTAAACCAGACCAAATAACTGAGTCTGGGTCAATGGGCGGTATGAAGAGCGTGAGTTCACCCGAATTGATGTGATATGTCAAGTAGGAGTCAGGAAGCAGGCATCCTGAAAGGTAATAGAACGGTCGCCGCTGCCTTTCGAAAAAAAGACCCCGTTAGCAGAGAATCATCACTAGAAGAGTTTGATCAGCTTCGTGAGATAAACCTGAATGGGACAGGAGTGTCATTGTCTTCAATTAAACGGGTCTTTTGCGCCTCTAAATAGATGACACCATCACCTTCGAATCCATTCCGACGGAGGAACGCAACAACTTTCTGAGCATGAGCTTTGGCAGGATATTTTCCCGCAAGGATATCATCAACTGACGCCATGATCCTTGGGGAACAGACGAAATCTCTCGAGGGCGGAATCTGCGTCAACGAACCGGACAGTGATCACTCTTTATATCGCTGCCATGATTGGAGGGGCGAAGCTACCCCGCCATTATTATTCTTCTTATTACGGGGCGGACGAACTAAGCCCGCGACGGTCAGTCATTTTTATTGTTACATCAGGCTCTCCTCATGCCTTACTCTGTACTAAACTTTCAATTCCCTCAATTTCACCAGTCCCAGCTGATAGATGCCGCCGGCACTTTCTATATCCCAATGCCCATAGGAAGCAATGTTCAGAAATACTTATGGACACACGGTTCCTTTTCCGGGTAATCGTAATAACATGGATCCGGTGGAGGCTAACAAAGCCAAAGGTAAACGGGTCTGCATGTAAGCTTGTTCCAATTCAATTGCTCTCACAATAATATATGGCCAGTGTGGCTTAATATGCCTGTTATATTGTTACATCAGATACTTAAGAGAGTTGGAATGAATGCCCCTTCTCAACTTTACGCTCTCTAGGTATTATCCAACACGATTTTACTAGTCGATAACCCTCCATTCTCGACACGATCGAGCCTACCTAGACATGTATATACATAGGACACGGTGAAACTGTTATAAGCATCCTGATTCACAAATTCAGAGTGTAGTGAGAAAAGTAGTGTTTTAATTCGAATTTAAGAATCCACATGGTTTATTAACTTAAAGTAGAAAATCATCAAGGACAGAATGGGGGCAAGGGCGCCGAAGACTCAGAGCCCGGAAAGAACTGAGAGCTGAAGCTTTGCTCGCTATTCGAAAGTCAACATAGATCTCCCAGATCGCAGGTCCTGCGCGAATAGACAAAGCCATTTCACATTGATTTCAGAGGATTTCAAACATATTTCAGACATTGAAGAAATTCACCGGAAAGGGCTGCTCTGACTGCCAGAGACCGAAACCTCCTCAAAATCCATCTGCCACTTATCAATCTCTGCAAATTTTCTTGCCTGTTGTTCCAACTCTTCACTAAATATTCTGTTTCCAGGTTTCCACGCTGGAGAGTATGAGTCTGAATCAAGTTCTTCAGAAGGTGGTGGCGACGATAACGACGAAGAATCGTCGGAGAGATAATTCTCTTCGTCTGCCATGTCAGCATCGCGACGGGAGTATGTGACTCGATTCCTTGGCTGCGAAAAATATGGCTTTTCAGAGACCACTGTAACAGTAGACTTCAACGCATTTGTGCCGTTCTCAGTGTCGCCGCCACCTTCTTTACGAGCGTTGTTGTTAACACGTTTCGATTTCACTCTTGCATTAACAGATCTCGCCTCATATAAACCTCGCCCACGTGTCTTCCTTGCTCTCCTTGAAGTCAGCTCATCTTCGCCGGAGCTGCCATCTTCGCTGCTGTCGTGCTCCTCATCATGATCCTCCCTCCACCGCTGCGAACGAAGGCGGCGACGAGGAAGAAACCTCTCCTGAAGAGTTGCCGTCGACAATTTTGGAAGCGCGTTTAACTTCCTGTCTTCCTCCGAGGCAGTGTTGGCCCCGTCAACACGTTTCCGAAGAAGCTCTGGGCTCGAAACTCGCTGTGTAGGGCTTCCAGGACTGCTACTCAAAGGCGCTGCCATAGTCAGACTCGGTGATTGTAGCGAGGCTGTAGCTAAGGGTGACCGTGGCACGGGAGCATCGGCCTGAGCGCTTGAGTAAGAAGAACGTCTTTGCAACACATCAGCTGGTGACGGTTCATCATCGTGCATTTCCATGGACTTCCGCTTCCGTTTCCGTGAGTCCTTTGACGACGGCGGCGATGACAAAGGAGCGGAAGGCGACGCTATCAAGGAATTGGGCGCTAGTGATTTGGGTCTGGAGATGTTGAGCGGCGTCGATTCGTCTTCAGGGCTCAAACCACCAAGGAAATCGTCGTCATCAAGGTCAGAGGACCCGTCGGCCTGCATCATTTGGAGAATACTAGGCTGTCTAGGCCTTCGTCTGAAATTGCTCAATATTGAACTCTCGAATGCGGGTGTACCAACAACGCGAGAGCTGGTATCTCCTTTCCGTCCTGCAAGTGACAGGGTGGACGAATAGCCACGAGCCCTTGTCGGCGGCCTGCTTCCTGTTCCAGTACGTTCCGGAGGCGAAGATTCAATGGCAAATTCATAGGGGTTTGCTGTAGGCGTCCGATTTGTTTTAGGGGTTGATTCATGCCCATTCTGAGTATCAAGATGCCCGCTGGTCATTGCGTCGCGACTTGCAGGGACTGGCTGGTTAGATTCTCCTGAGATAGCCTTCGCAAGTCCATGGCTATCGCCATTATTTTCGGAGCCGTTGCTGCTAGGTAGCGCATCTTTCCTGGTGGATTTCGCAGGGCGAGCAGAAGAAGCCTGGCTCTGAGGCGCTAGACGATTGCGACGTGCAGGAGGTCGAGGCATCTAAAAAGCGATTTTGGCGATTTTCAAAGGTAGAAATAAAGAAAAGATGAGATGTAATTCTTGTATGCTCTGGAGCTGCGTTGGTTTCTAGAGCTACTTAGTTGTTCGATCTTTGACCGGCTATCAACTTGGTCTTGATGAGGACTGAACTGATGATACGCGTTTGTTTTGAAGCCCGACGCGTCGTGGTTGGCTCGTGCGCGACTACTTACCTGCCTACCCAGGTAGGTCGATGGTATTAGTAGGTTCACCCGATGTCGGTGCGCTTCAACTCCATACAGGAAGTACATTCATTAGACGACCTCTGCTTCACGACAGCAATTTATGAAGGGTAGAGGTATCCACTTCTTCTGCCATGCACGTAACAGAATATTATTCGATTTCATTCCGCATACTGGGCCTCACGAAATGGGCGGGATAGAATAACGAAACCCCGATGGTCAGTGAAAATGGAAAACTTCAATGTCATATGAACGAGTCTTTGGCTGCCAGCAAGCCATTCTCAAATAAGCTACGGATTGAAAGTTACAGAAGCAGCCAGAGACCGATACGGCATGCAAGACATGTAAGACAACAATTTCCTGTAAAGAAGTTTCTTCCGGCCTGGGTCATATTCAAAACGTGTCAACAAAAACTGTAACATAGTTGCACAACCATGGTATCTCAAGAAGAACGAACACTGAAGAATCACAAAACATCGACATAGATAGTAGTTTAAGACACATTAGGGAACTCATTCAAGCGTAAGAGATGCTCTTCACATCAGAACCCATTCAGTACCCCGTTTGATAAATTTATCTAGCAGCATGCCAAGATCATTTAAGGCGAAGCGACAAACATAGAAACCAAAAAACTCCGCCGCATGCCGAGTACTAAGCTCCAAACCAACGTGAGTGGGAGAGGAATGCTTAAGACCCGGATCTTCCACTTGTCGAGCAATTTGGTCTAACGGTGTTAGCACACTCGGCGATAAAATGACTTAAAAAAAAACTCACCAAGAACCTGGACCGCATCAAATAATCTTGCTAAGGCACCCATATAATTTGCATTAGGCCCAGTGAACTGAAGTTGTGTCACATTGCGTTTAGCGACACGGCTGCTCGGTGTTGCTGTCATCGGCAACGAATTCATTGTCAAGTTATCCTTTCCATTTTCTCTGGCACCTGACGGTGGCGCGTTCGAGTGAGCCGCTGCAGAACTTTTGGACCTCAGTTTCCGCCAGGAACTCAGGTACGATTTGCCAGTCCCATTCGACGTCTTCAGCGATGAACTCTCGGTTGTCGACGTAGCATCTTCTGAGGTGGATGCAGACTTGAAAAGTGACAGAGAGCCTTGAACCCCCACCTCACTACCCAGCTTCTTTGCCAAAGAGCTCTGCACTTGATCAAGAATGTTCTCGAAAGCCTGCATTTCCTCAAGTACTGCATCAGCATCATAGGTGTCAACCTGGGCAAGTTTAAGTAACGCAGCCGTCAATAAATCACATAATGAGACCTTGTCTTCCACGGCTTTTATTTTGACATTTTTAACACGCCATACGTCTCTTGGCACGAATAACTTCGTTGAAAGATATCCGCCTCGGGGGTGTGCGATTGTCTGATAGAGGCATCTCATAAGCCAGAAAGGACGGAGAAGAAAAGATTCTGGACAAGGCTCCAGCGGTATAGGCGCGTTTGCAGCCGTCGAATTAGGTGAGCCAGGAGTATCGGGTGAATGAATATTACTATCAAATAGATAGAGTCCACCTGTTGGCAAGCCATTTGCTGTAAACGTTGCACCAGTCGGTGTTGGTAGCGTGGGGATGGAACCGCCTGTGATGCCTTTCTGGAAATCCAGATTAGGAAATGTGCTGCTGGATGGTGTGTTCGGTGAGTCGGTTGAGATATCTGGCGTGGACATCGACATGTTTCTTCCCCGCAAGGCTCTCAAACTCGATGAGGAAGTATTTTTCCTTAGATTTCCGGGAGCAGAAGTCACTTTTCCTATCGGCCGTGACGGTGATGGCGCATTGGAGCGTCCCAGATCCTCGCTGTCATGTGTCCTAACTCGTCCAAGACCCGAGCCATACGAATCACCGGCAAAAGAATCGATGGATGCCTTCCTTTCAGACGTCCTTTGCTGGGAAGGTCTTGAGGTAAAATCGTGCGCACTCGATGAATGAATAGGTAGACTAGTTTTGGGCTCATCTTGCGGAAGTGGTGGAGGTGGGCTTGCGACAGGAATCGACGAAGGCTCCGTTGCAGGCGCCTGTGAGCCACTTGGTATACGGTTTGTCTCAATTTTCAACTGTTTCAAGTTCTGTCCCGACAATCTTCGAGCCCTCACCCCGGCACCAGTTGTTGTGTTGAAGCTCGATGAGGGAGTTAATGGCCTGGACTGTGCAGGCTGAGCGGGAGGGCCTGACGAAGGTATTCGAGGAGGAGGGGGTAGCCGTTTGTGTTGCATTTTTGCATCCAAGGCGACCCCTTCCGCCAGCGTCGACAACGAAGTTCCGGCAGTAGTTGTATTGGATGCAACCGAACTTCCCCAAGTCCTTCCTGAGAAGCCACTCGAATCTGATTGCCGAGGCAGTGCCGACTTGGAATGAAGATCAAATTCAAAATCGTCCATAACATAACCTTTCGTCATCTCCTCTAATAACCGTTCTTCCTCCTCGGCCTCTTCGTCGACATAATCCGAGTCCATTCCATCAGTCTGTCCCACAGTCGTCCTTTCTTGGATGTGTCGCTGCTCTCGTCCTCGCGCCATTACTACCTGTGCTTCCCTTTCTGCCTCCCTCACTCTTTGTTTTGCAATCTCAATGTTTCTTCGAGCATTCGACACAACGTCATCTTCGAAAAATCCATCAGATGCATCCATTGCCGGTTCCAAGCCTTCATCATAAGCAGCTTCGACGGCTGCATCTAAAGCGGCATCAAACTCAGCCTCAGTGCCAGTGCTGACACGGCGACCATGCCCCTGGTGTGAATATGTAGACAAGTTGGACTGCACGGAACCAGGTGACGATGCACCGGACTCATCAATGGTATCAAGCCACGATGTTGATTCATTACCAGGCTCCTGTGTGCGTTGCTGAGGTATAGAGTAGAGTGGCTGATGCGCTGTATGGGGAGATAGATGGCTCGAGTCTGACTGCGGGTTCGAAAAATCGGGAGTAAGGGACCGTCGTGGGGAGAGTGGAAGCATATAATCGTCCCCGTCAGCAGGCGCTCTGTTTAAAGAAAGATCTGATCCGCGTTCCCGACCAGTCAAATCTGATAGGGAGCGATCATGAAGTTGATTGGAGCCCGTTTCTGAGGTCGTCGCTCGCGGACCCTCCTCAAAGGCAGAAGGCAGCAATGATTGGCGTCGAGCTGGGAGTTGTGAAGAGGTTGCTTCTGTCGCCTGAAAAGAATTGTCGACAACTCGCCTCGCAGTCGCAGTCTCAATTGCTGCCATATCCCCGTCTTCTCCTTCCATTGGCTGGAAAGTACCATGTGAAAGGGAGTCATCACTGACGGGTCTTTCAGGAAGGGCCTTCTCATGATGTTGCTGAGACGGAATACCGAGGCGCTGGAGTTCCTTGATCCGAGCCATATAAGTGTTGCGCTGCGAAATGTCATGTCAGATAACACGGATCTACCAATGCAAGCAGCATGACAAATCTTACAATTTCTTTGAGCTTGATCTTCTCATCATCGCCTCCACTACTCCGCAACATTACCATCTGTAATAAATCACAAGCGTCACTATAGGCTTCGATCGCTCCCTCGAAGTTCGCGGCGTTGTCCAGCAATACAGCAGTGTTAGCCTTTTGTAACGCCTTCGACAGCATTGCTTTCTGGGACTGGCCACGTTGCCGACGTCCGCGTGAAGACGCCGAGCGGGCTTCAACAATGTCGTCGGTGGCATTTGACGCTTGTTCTGAAAAAATGAACTGTGATGAGTCTTCCATTTTGTCGGTTCGAAAAGGTTGCCCTGTAATTGTCTTTGAGCTGATACCAGGTTGAGAGACGTCTGATTCAGTATCCAGTTTACCGAACACGCTTGGCAAACCGTGAGCGTCCTCTCGCCGATTTACGGAGTTCGAAGGCGCAGATATATACGGTGTGGTCACGGAAGACGTTTCAAAGACAGATGAAGCAGTCGCTGGATGAGCGTCAGAAGTTGCACGCAATGGTGAGGGACTCGTTGTCGATTCCGACTCCGCAGTAAGTGTTTCGAGAAGGTCTGTTGATGAACGGACAGCAAGCCGTTCAGAAGATTTCCAGGAGAAATTAAAAGACGTGTTCGGATTGCCCTCGATCCGTGAAGTTTGTGGGTGATTGACGATGTTCCCAACAGGACTCAAAGATCCATTGGGTAAGGAAGGACCTCCCAAACTCGTCTGGCTCGCCAGATCGTCACAATGGTGATCTCCAGACTGCGGTGAGGACAAGCTAGAAACTGTCGACTGCGACCAGCGGTTTATAGAACGGAGACCTTCGCTGATGCTGTTCACGCTGCTTGAACGGTCGTGTATCGTACTCGAAGTGGAGCTCACTGCGACGTCTAAAGCTGTGGGAGATGATACGTCGACTCCGCCAGCAGAGTCCACAGAGCCAGTTGCAACAACTTTGGGGGAACTCCGAAAACCAGTACCAGACGAATGCGATGTAGCTTGCTGGACAGTGGCCACAGATGAGGAGACTGAATTAGATCTTGCTGGTCTCTGAAGATGAGAATAACTGGACGTTGCGGTCGTGTAATGTAGCATCTCTGGGACTAAACCGAGCCAGCGCGCGAGTTGGACTGGCTGGTAGAATTCGCCAGTAGAGGGGACGGCGTTAGGACTGGCCGTCCTGGACTACCTCTGCCAAGCATAAACTCCAATTCTCGACAAAGGCGTTCGGGAATATAGTAGCAGTGGAAAGACGAGGAACGAAGCAATGGAACGTCGAACTAAAAGTGGCGATTGTGATGGCCAAAGAAACGGCAAGGATCTCGAGAATTCAATGACCGGCCAAAATTTGAATATATTAGGCGTAAGTCGTTCAACTGGTGAGACAAGTAGAAGAAGAGTTCGCGAAATGCTCTAATTGGCCTTATCGTCCGTCATTATCCGACAGTCATGATAAGGCGCATCATAGCTGATATCGCGTCGAAGTCTGTTTCGGATGTCTACCCCACGAGAGACTAGCAAAGACACATTGGCAGTCTAGTAATGCATCTCAGGCGACAATCATATCAGTGAGACAAATGCCAATCCACAAGCAAAGGGGTGGATGTTCGGAGGCAACAGCGTGGTTCGTGCGATCCAATACGGATGCCCGTAAAAGGCACGCCCTGAGAAGAATTGGGAGGACCGGAGAGCAAGCGTTTGGCCGTGGGACGACGTACACTGCGAACGGGAGGCCGTCTAGGGAAATAAACCGTGACTGGGAATGCGACTTCGTCGTGGCTTAGATCTTTCTGATCTTGAGGACTCCGGCTCTCGGGGAAACCGGGTATAAGGAGCTGCGCGGCGCTGTCAACCCCTTGGACGATGCGGAGGGCGAGTTCGATGAAGAAAAGCAGAAGAGCCCTGACCTGGCTGGATAAAAGCGGTGGTAATTATGAGCACCATAAAACAGTTAGCGACGATAGAGAGGGGCTCGCAAGTAAGAATGCTGGCGCAGGACGTCTGGAAGAATCGCTGGTGGAGAGAAAGGGGGAGGCGATCGAGAAGACTCTCGACCCAGCAGCCTCCGACCCCGACACCACCCAGATCGGGTACGGTAAAGCGTCCGCGCCGTCGTTGCGCGGCTCAATCTGGTTTTGGCCCGTCCGCGCGGTTTGCTGCACGGGGCGTGCGGAGCAAGTTACTCCGTATGCAGGGCGAACAATCAATTGGAAAGGAAGACATGTGGGAAACTGGCGACAGAAACTTCGGCTGATGACTCGCCCTCGAAAGACATGCCGTGAGCATGCTTGTGTTTTGAGCATTGCCTGCTGTTGTTCTTCTTCACTTCAACGAACTTAGGTACCTTATCCTCCTTTTCAGGGGGGCCTCCACTCCCCGCAGCGAACCATGGACGCAAAAGGGCCCGTGCCGCCTAGTTCCCATGCACGACAACTGAGTGAGCTTCAGGACTCGCTAATTCCGCTACCTGCCAAGGAGTTTTCAGATCACACAGTGGGAAATCGAGTTCCGCTCTGTCATCGTGAGCCTTTTTTTGAAGGAATGGCTTCGAACACTGCTGTAGAGGCTTGTTTAAATCAGAACCAGCCATTAGCTTGGCTGCGAATCATGGCATGGTTACTCCATACCGTTTAGCTACCTAAGGCTCCTAATCTACCGTGCAGCTAAGTAAGGAGTGAACCGAGGACTGCAACACAGCGCGCGGGCGACCAGTAGGCGGTGGCAGAACTGCCCCTGCCCCCGTCCCCTCCATCCGCTCTCAACCCATTTCGTCATCACCCTGTACCGACAGCTGCCATTGTGATGACCTGTCCCACGAAAGTAAAGCATCGGTACTCTTCCAGTTGACTGGCGAAACTGTATGGATTAGCCCGGTCGAAGACTTGCACATCCCATTCATCAACTTTCCACATCGCCGTTAGTATCTACTTTTGCACATAATGTTTCACCCAGCGATGGCATCTCGCAAAGGAGGAATCCGCATTGCAATTGATGCATGTGGCTGTCCCAGTCGTTCCTGGTCTGTTCGAGGTCTCCGTCTCCGTCTGTCATCTGGGCTGAGTCCTCCAAAGCTTGATGTGCTGACGTCTTGTTCAGCGCGGCGGCACATTCACAGACTGTGTCGGAAATCCAGGAACAGAGAAGCCACAGGATGATATAGCCATCAAACTTCTTTCTGAAGACCCAGGTAACTATGATGACGCTCCACTTGAGGGCATTTGGCGACTGCTTTCAAAGTTCACCGGGCGAGAGGTTCCACGCGGAGAACCTCTAGACACATCTCAAATTGAGAGCATTCGAATGGGCACCACCTTGCTGCCAATGCCCTTCTAGAACGAAAAGGAGAGAGGATTGCTTTCGTGGTGACAAAAGGATTCAAAGATTGTCTCGAAATTGGTAACCAATCGCGCCCAAAAATCTTTGACCTCGCGATTAGGCGCCCAGATGTTTTATACCAGAGAGTTATCGAGATAGATGAACGCGTCACTTTGGAAGACTCGCCAAAGACCCAACTAGGCAGATAACGAAGACACCTCCACGAGAGAGACACCTTCAGATGCAGAAGTTGTCCGTGATCTGTCATCTGAAGCGCTGCGAATATTGCGCCGGCCTACCGAGAGCCGAGTGCGGTCGCAGTTGCAAGAATGGGCATCCGCTGTATTGCTGTCTGCCTCATGCATAGCTACACCTTCCCTGATCATGAACCCCTAGTGGGAGAGATAGCTCGCGAAATCGGCTTTGACCATGTCAGCCTCAGTCATGAGCTTATGCCAATGATCAAACTTGTTCCAAGAGCAACATCTGCTTGCGCCGATGCATACCTTACTTCCACCATTAAAAAGTACATAGCAGGGTTTCAAACTGGATTCGAAGGCGAGTTAGGAGCTGAATCTGTTCAGAGAGGGGACAGTAAAAAGGGGCGCGATGTGAATTCATGTAATCCGATGGCGGGCTTGTCGATGTCTGTCAGTTTTCTGGCCTGAAAGCTATTCTTTCAAGTCCTGCAGGAGGCGTCGTCGGATATGCGCTCACATCCTATGATCCTGAAACTAAAATACCTGTTATTTGCTTTGGTATGGGCGGTACGAGCACTGATGTTAGTCGCTATGGTGAGGGACGATATGAGCACGTTTTCGAGACACAACTGCCGGTGTTACCATCTAATCACCTCAGTTGGACATCAATACAGTAGCTGCAGGAGGCGGTTCCAGGCTGTTCTTTCGCAATGGGCTTTTTGTCGTCGGTCCAGAATCTTCAGGTGCACATCCCGGTCCGGCATGTTATCGCAAAGGTGGTCCCCTTACTATAACGGATGCCAACCTTTCCTAGGTAGACTTCTTTCTGACTTCTTCCCAAAGATCTTTGGGGAAAAAATGAGAATGAAGGGTTGGACGAACAAGCAACCAGCAAGCAATTCGAAGACCTGACCAGGCAGATCAATAACGAGATCTCTAAGGGAAAAAAAGAGAAATAGATGATACCAGATGAGGTCGCATATGGCTTCATCAAAATCGCCAATGAGACAATGACGAGACCAATCCGTTCTCTCACGGAGGCCAAAGGTCATGACACGTCTAAACACAGGCTTGCTACATTCGGAGGTTGGGGCGGCCAGCACGCAGTAGCCATCGCTGAGAGTTTGGGTATTCGCCAGATTCTTGTCCATCGATACTCTTCCGTTCTTTCTGCATATGGAATGGCTTTGGCCGATGTTGTTGATGAAAGTCAGGAGCCTGAATTGAAGGTTTGGTTTGAAGGCAATGTCCAGCAAGAACTGAAATCGAAAATAAGTGAGCTCAAGGAGATGTCTGCAAGAAAACTTCGGGCTCAAGGTTTCGACGACAAATCAATTGTATTTGAAGAGTATTTAAATATGAGATACAGGGGAACAGAATCCGCCCTTATGGTTATAAAACCCACTCCTGAAGAGGCTCGCGATACTTACAACGGTGATGACTGGGCTTTCGGGAAAGCGTTCGTCAAACAACACGAACGTGAATTCGGGTTTACTCTTCCTGACAGGGATATTATAGTTGACGATTTGCGTGTGCGAGGAATTGGCAGAAGCTTTGAAGGATTGAGAAAAACAGTGGACCAACAGCTGAGAGAGGCAAAGCCAAGAGATGTCTCCAGCAACAAGCTATATCGGACATCAGAGGTTTGTTTCGAATGCAGCCGCCGAAACACGCCTATTTATAGGTTGGGTGATCTTTAAGGCAATGACCGTGTGAAGGGTCCCGCAATCCTGGCTGACGACACTCAAACTCTAGTCGTGACGCCAGGAGCCTCTGCCCTCGTTACAGAAACTCACGTCGTGATAAATGTCGGCGATGCCGAAATCCAGAACGTAAAGGCAGATACCGGCGAAGTAGACCCCATTATGCTCAGCATATTCGCTCACCGTTTCATGGCAATTGCGGAACAAATGGGGAGCGCATTGCAAAAGACAAGTGGCAGCACAAATGTCAAGGAACGGCTCGATTACTCGTGCGCTCTTTTCGATCCCGACCGACGGTGGACTGGTCGCAAACGCTCCGCATCTTCCAGTCCATTTGGGAAGCATGTCAACTTGTGTACGGACTCACGAGCTCGTATATGGAAAGGCAAACTGAAACCTGGCAACGTAATCGTTTCCAGTCGTCCAGAATTTGGAGGAACCCACCTTCCTGATATTACTGTTATAACTCCGGCCTTTAGCAAAGGCGCAATAATCTTTTACGTGGCTTCTCGCTCCCATCACCGTAAGTCAAGCAGTTCAATAATATAGACACCCTTGCTGATATCTATAAGCCGAAATTGGAGGTATACTTCCAGGCAGCATGCCTCCGCACTCTTAAAGAGCTTTTCCAGGAAGGCGCTGCGATCAAATCTGAGAACTAGTCTCCGAGAGAGAGTTCAACGAGAAATGCATCACAGAATTGCTATACCACGAACCGGCCAAATACCCTGGTTGTAGTAGAACAAGGTGTCTGGCAGACAATTTAAACGACCTGAAAGCACAGATCGCAGCCAACCAAAAGGCTATAAATCTTATATCTTCGTTAATCGAGGAATATGGACAAAATGTGGTGCAATTCTATATGCTGAAAATCCAGCAAAACGCTGAGTCAAGTGTGGGGAATCTCCTAAAGAACGTCAGCAAAAGATTCGCCGGTCAAGGTCTGAGTGCCGTCGATTTTATGGATGACAGCAGCCCCATTAAGCTTACGATATTAATCGATGGCGAAAATGGTGAAGCAGTTTTTGATTTCACTGGCACCGGGCCTGAAGTCTATGGTGAGCTTCTTTCAAAAACTAGTCCAATTATCAAACTAACATATATCCAAGAAAACATCAATGCCCCGGAGGCTGTTACCTACTCAGCGATAATCTACTGCTTGAGATGTTTGATATCTCTAAATCAGGGATGCTTAAAGCCAGTAGATGTCCGAATTCCGAAAAATTCCTTTCCATTACCATCTGACAGAGCAGCTGTCGTCGACGGTAACGTGCTTACGGTGAGTTCATTGTTCCATTAGGCGAAAACAGTATTGCAGTTGGAGAGACTAATGCACATGGAAATCGCAGAGTCAGCGGGTAATTGATATCATCCTTGAATGCTTCCGAACTTGTGCTGCTTCTCGAGACGACACAAACAATTTAACTTTTGGCATTGGCGGGAATATTTCTGGCGAGGCAGAAACCAGAGGTTTCGGCTACTATGAAACGATCGCCGGGGGTAGCGATGCTGGCCCAAAATGGCAGGGAACATCTGGAGTACATACGCACATGACCAACGCTCGGATTCCCGACGCTGAGGTTTTTGAACGCCGATATCCAGTTTTGCTTCGAGAATTTAGCATAAGGAAAGGATCGGGAGGTAACGGCCAACACCGTGGCGGAGACGGTGTCATCAGGGATATAGAGTTTCAAATCCCAGTACAAGTTTCCATTCTTTCGGAACGCAGGGTGTATCGACCATATGGTCTCGAATGCGGCGAAGATGCCCAATGTGGACAAAATTTCTGGATACGAAAAATCCCAAAGAAGGAGGGCGATGGAAATGGCTGGGAAGAGCGCTGTATTAATTTAGGGGGCAAAAATACCGTTAGTATGCGGCCAGGAGAACGCATCATAGTGATGACACCTGGAGGTGGTGGATGGGGTGCTGTCGGAGAACAAAATAAAGCTCGAAAAGAGCTAGACGCTCGCCATGCCTGGCGAGGGGGGTCTTTGGCAAGCCGCATATCGACATAGGAGACCAGCATGTGAGTGTGGTTTACTCAAGGCGGCGAAAGATGTCCATAAATAATGAATGAGCCTTTAAATGCAATTTCATTGCCATATACGCCTCTCAGAACTGGGTTAAAGGAGATGTGAGGAAGAATGTGCGCCCCCTCACAAAAAATTGAAAAGGAAACGATTGTTCCTTGATGAGGTTATACTATGTATGCTATACCCTGAGGTCGAGGTCGGTGATATATCGCTGTCAGATTGAGTCTCACGGTCAGTAAAATACGTAGCAGTTTCAGTACTAAATTTTATGACGTAGATTATTATCTTCCCGGGAGTTTCATAACATTATTTTCTCCTTCTTGCCTTGTTTTTTTTATTTGCCTCTATCCCAGGCACTCGCATTCCGGCCTATGTATGTGTATACATATACCTAGAGTCCTAGATACCAAGTGCATAACCTCGGGGCCTGGAAGACATGACGATGGTACTCGACTTGACAACATTGGACAAGTGACCAACGCGCCTTCCGGCCCAAGTATCTACTCTAGGTACCCAGGTAAATCAGATTGTGTACCTGTCAGGCGAAAGATAATAGCCATCGCCATTGGTAGATTGGAAGTCTCTCTTTCAGAGATCCTTCCCAATTCATCTAATAACGACTCTGCTAAACCACGTTTCCCGCCGAAGATCTCCGCAAGGCTCACGACCCCTGTTTTGGACCATGAAACGAGAAGTACCAGCTCAAATCACGTTGCCTGCAGGGGTTGTCCTTTTCCTCTCGTTGAAGATGGAACATTCAGGTCGCAATTTTCAAACGCCTTGGATCTCAACTTTCCCCCTCATCTTCCTCACTCGTAGCCTCAATATTCTTTTTCCCAATGGTCGAACCAGTATTTTTGGCATCCCCAGCTCCAATTTCCTTCTTGTCATGTTCACTATTGACCTCGACATAACTAGGTCGAGGAACGGACTCTCCTTTCTGTAAGAGGACTTCCTCGATTTCAGGTAAATGGCGGATAAGGGAACTGAATTGATCCATGGGCAGCGAAATCCCCTAGATAAATATTAGTAGAAAGTCTCTACGAACGCGGAACTAGGTGATTGTGAAGCAGAAGAAGCTACACATTGAAGATCCACCCGCAACACCCTACCTTCTTCCCCGGAAGCTCCTGGCCATCTTTTTCATAGTATTCTCTGATGTTGACCATGGTCTTTCCTCTGAACGTGGAGATCGTGACGCGGCGAAGGTTAGATATCTCCCAGTACACATCTCCATTGGAATCAACCTTCCTGGATGATGAGGAGCCGGGCTTATTTCCCGTCCTAGCTCGTTTTAAACGCCCCTGATCTTCACCTTCGCTGACGACAAAACCACCATCTGAATCATAATCGTTGGCTGCAGAAGAGCGTTTTTTAGATTTTGACGCCATCCTATGGTAAAAATTGATCCAATTTTCACGGTAGGGGCGCTTTCAATGATGACGCAAGAATTGATCCCAGTTAAGTGAGCTCCACCAGAATGAAAAGCAAGTCCTGCTCCAACTGTATTGGTCTTATTAGATGGACTTGAGAACTTTGGAAATCAAGATAAACCTGGTTAGTTGTTGCGAGTGGAGGTGGAGTTCTCCGTAGAGCATAAATTCAAAACGAAGGGGAAATACGCACACGCGATCCGCGAACGCGTCACTTCGCACGTGCTTACATCACTGCGTTGGGAACCAGGCGGTCGCCGGGCCAATTTCACATGCCAACTTTTCCAGGTCTCCAGTCACACCAGATGAGGTGGGATGTCGATCTAAAGATGTTGACGGAGACGCCTATCTCTCTTACTTTTACCATACACGTACGTACAGTACATATGTTCTAGGCCAATATACAGACGGGTGTTCAAAGAGACCATATAATACTGGTACCTGAATATGTGCAAATTATATCGATCGTCGGGCTTGCTGTCTTTGTAGAGGCATATATAATACAGATTGACGTGCTGATTGACCGATTGGATTAATGACTGTGACCTCGAGATTTCAGAGAATGGCCGCTCTGAGAGCCTGTAACACAAGGGCAAATATAAATCCCCGACTAATTTCCTCGATCTGAAGACAGTCGAAAACCTTTCCAAGCGCCTCACCAGTTGCAGCAGCCCCCATTATACTCATCAGAGCCTGGGGCATTCCTCTTTGGATAAGCAGCTTCCGGGCATTAGCCCTCAGTCTCTCCTTCTCATCACTGCTCAGGGGAGGAGGCCACCGGCTCATCTCTTCTTGGGTGGGGAGGGAGTTTTCTCGAAGCTTTGTAATATAAGCTGCCAACGCCTCGTCTGATGTCTGAGCATCAATCATCGACTCCTGTAGCAAGGTACGGATCGCTTCAAGATTGGGATTCCCCGGCCGCAAAATATATGATTTTGCCGCGTTCAGAAGAGTCTTTCGGATATTCCAAGCAGAAGACAAGGTATACAGTTCATTGATGACAGCAAAGATCAGCTCAACCGCAATTCGAGTCTCATCCTCAGTGATCGGGCTGCCACAATTCTCTCGGCGGGTTGTTTTGGGAGACGCTGATCTCGCCTCCGGCCGCGAAGGAGAACCGGGATGCACAGGTTCGGGCTGCCTTTGGGTATGGTCGTCATTTGGACAAGGTGTTGTGTTTTGATCCGCACTTTCTTCTGTAACAGAACCTTGATGAGGGGGAAGACCTGAATCCCGCAGATCTACCTCTCTACTACCGGTTGACAGGCCCGTACCACGTGCATTTGATGCAGGCATCACTCGAGGTTCTATTTGGGCTGATGAAGGGGTTAACAAAATATCATGAGGAGCACCGCCTTCTCCTTTACCTGGCTGTTCCGGGATTTTGGTGGCCTCTTTCATTTGGCTGTCCAAATCCAATGACGCAGAACGTCCTGAATCTTTGCGTTCCTTGTGCTGTCGGTTATCCATAGCCGTTAAACTGCTTGCACTCGTTCTTTTCATTGATTGGGGAGCCTTCGCTTGCCCTGTGGTCATGTCATGGGCCTTTTTGGTTGTACCCACACTTCCAAATACCCCCGTCACTCCTTCCAAGACAGCTTTACCACCTCCGGCTACACCTTTTGGAGCATTGGATAAGACCTCTAAAACGCCTTTTCCCATGTTCTCAAATGTGCTCTGGCGAGGAAAGGAGAACCCAGGTTTGGCAGATACCGACGAAGAAGTTATGCTCAGATCCCTGTCTTTTTCAAGAAAGCGTCTCATACGCTCGAATTCTGCAAGACGCTCATGCCGAAGTGCATCGCGAAGGTAGCTTTCAAGGTTCCGTGCCAATGCTTGTTTCGTCTGTCCTTTCCATGTTGGCAAAGTAGGATGCTTTTCTGAGAAAGAATAGATACCATTCATTCTTGAAATTGCCGCTAGCCCTTCGTGCAGAAATTCGAAGTCCGCATATTTCCTGAAAATTATCCAACCTGGTTGACGTGATGAGGCAGGTTCGATCTGCAATGAGTAATAGTTTGAAGGCTTTGACCGAATAACCGCCTTGTCCCCAGGTTCAGAGCCATCATCTATCAATACCGAAGCACCATAGAGAGTTGGAGGCGATGCGGGCTCCGATCCCAGCATAGCAGTGTGTGGAGGAGGTAATGTTCCTGGTGCCTGACATGACAGCTGCTGAACATAATCGGTTTTTTTTACCTCTGTGGAACTTCGCTGGTCGCCTCGCGACTCTAAATTCTCGTGAAATTGTAAATTTTGGGTTCTTTCTTCACTATCTTCTTCGGGTTTTTCACCTTCCGACGAGGTCGGGGTCGTCATTCCTTCCGTAGTCGTACTGGAAACAGAGCTCCCATTCGCAGCACGGTTTCCAGTATCCATCATCTGAGGCACCCTCTGCAACACCTCTTCACCAGACATCGCCCCTTTCAGATGCGTTGGTTCCGCTTTTGAGGACTTCAGTCCATTCCCTTCCTGAGACGGTAGGCTTTCAGAGCTGTTCTCAGGGCGTATCCCAGAGGGAGGGTTCCCAGAACAGGTATGTGATGAGGCACCAAGGTTATCAGAAGACGGATCAATGACAGACTCGTCCTTACGAGTATGTTCAAGACCAGCATCAATTGCGTTCATTATCTCCGGTTCACCTTCTTGAAGTAGATATATGATCCAATTGTTGATGAAGTCGGGCTGTGAACAGCTCTTTATAACCGATTCCAAGACAAGGCCCGCAAAAATCTCCCGAAGAAAATTCCTGACCACCTCACACTCGTACGCTGTGCGGTCAAGGAATTTAGAAAGAATGTCGTCTGCCACCATCTTAAGCTTCTTCTGTTGTTGCTCGACAGCCAAGACATTTGCTAGGCTACTCTCGGGGAATTGTGCTAGATATTTCCTCACAGCTTCTTCGGGTGTTGACGAATCAGAGTTCGTAGCCTGCAACGCCAAAGACAGTTCATTCAGAAATACAATGATCATCGAAGAGGAATTCGTGACGAATTGAAGGAAGGTATCTGCAGGCCGTTTGCGGGTGAGATGTGAGGACAAGGAGGTGATGAAGTTAACTAATATCTTCCGACAAGAGAGAGGGAAGGTCTCTTCTAACGGCAAGATCGGTGCATACCAGTAACTATATATTTTGGTGAGTTCCTATGCGCGGATGAAAGGGTGGATTCTTACGTCACGTAGTCCTTGATGATTGCATCGGTCAACGCAGTAAGAGCAGCCGCTGTGGCAGGACCAAAGCTAGAAAAAGAGAGTTCAGTATCATGCATCGATTCCGCCTTGGTGACAACAGATCTTTGGCCATGGGCTCCGTCTTCAGTAGTTCTCTGCGACTGCCATTCAAGTAGCCTGTTGGCCACCTCTATACCTAGCTCCCGCCTCCTTCTGTGATGACTAGTATCCAATCCACCATTTCGCAAATCATCTTCAGCACCGTCCCAGTGGGCGTGGAGGATAACACCTGCAACTAGGCCGATGAGCAGCAACCCGAGTCTCCCTAAGATGACAAATGTCGCAACAGCTAAAGCAGCAAAAACAGCCAGAAGAGTGTCATTCCCAGCGGTCGACAGAAAATGTAGGATACGCTGCGTGAGTGTAGCTACCTGGGATGACGAGAGTTCGCATGAGGACAAGTTGGAATTGTTGATATCATGCCCTGTCGTGTCATCTCCGGGGGCTCGATTCGTTTGAGGTTTGCCGGACGCGCTACAGACGTCGTCAGAGCTATCCATGACAGCTTCATCTGAAGTTTCTGCAGGACCGACAAAGAAGGTTCGAGCTTTCGTTAACTGCCGACACAATTTTGCCTCGGTACCTTCTTGTAGATCGTAGGTGAGTCTTGGGACGTTTGATGCCGCGTGTCGACCACTCGAATGCACGGATTATATCAGCAATGCAAAGCTTGGAAAAACCTCGAAAAGAAAAAGATGGAATGCGTCAAACGCATAGATATATATATATATACCCAATACAAAGGAGGCTTGTTTGCAACTTTATCAATCCTTCCAGTGGACCCTTTTCTTCGAGCACTCGCCTTCCTCTAGAGTGCTCTCCATGGTCTGCACAAATCACGTGAACAGAATTTAAGCAAGTACCTACTATGTTGCATTAACCATATAACCAGGAAAGCTGTAGACTTGTATATATAACCCCCTTTATTCCCCTGCTTGCTTGAATTGTCCAAGCAGAGTATCTAAAGCATGACGGATGGGTAATTGATCTCCGCTTTCCGAGTGAATCCAGCATTCGGAGAACATGCATTCATGCCAGATGCAAAGGAGAAAGCGGTGTCTAAAAGTTTACCAAGCTCTCATGGCCACTCCGATCCATATCCAGACCTGAATAATCCTCGCATCCTTCGAAACACCTCAATGCTTGATGTATTTTGTATGTGATCCTTGGGCAACCAATATGAGTTGACCGGAATCATCACGCTTTGAAATCGTGACAGTTGTAAAAGCAAGAGTCTTTCCGACCTTACTGGCCCGACTTTCAATCTCGAGCCAGTCTCCGAGTTTCGCTGGCGAAAGATATGAGACATGTATATCCGTGCTGGCGCCAGTAGATTCGAGACCATGTGAAGCAATGGCCATCCCACCTGCCCAGTCAATCACACAGGCAGAGAATGCGCCATGCAAAGTACCTTTAGAGTTCAGATGGCGAGCAGAGACCGTAATCCTGGCACGAACAACACCTTTTTGAGCTTCATATATTTCCACGTCTTCCAGGAGGAATGCATATATCGGGCTATTTGGTCGTATTCTTTCCCAGACCTTTTGAACACTTGATAGTTCAGAGCTCATGATGATTGACACTGGCCACAGGCGCAGTAAACAATGATTTGTGAGAATGGGAAATATATGGACAGGGATACTGTTCAGGGTGTGAGGAAAAAAATTATTATGCCGCAGTGAGGAAGCAACTAACCCAATTTGCATACCCTTATCGTGGCCCACCTGAGGTAGCCAATACTGCGCCCGGAGCTGTTTTTCCACTGCAGGCATGCCGAGCCGGTGAGGATATTAGAGCCCCATAAGGCAGACTCTCATCTGCTCTCCCTCAACGTAGTGACTTTTTCATAAAGCTACCTTCCTACATATCACATAAGCAAGATGAGCAAAACACCTTCATAATATAAAGAATGTTTAGTAAATAATTTAATTGTGTTATTAGTCATGACAACCTATGCAATGATTCTCAACAATAATGAGCATTTTAGTACAGAAGCCACCTATGGTGGAAGAGAAGAATAAAGAGCCAGGAGACATAAAAATGCGTTATTGAAGTATATACCTATATATTTAATAGGTAAAAAACAATGGTGACCACATGCACATTGTATACGAATAATAAGGTTGGTTGAGTAACTCCTATGTTGATGAGTATACAATAGAATTATCTAACTTTGAGATGGGGAAGATTCGCAAAAGGAGATCCCTATATTCTTTTTAATTGTTGTTCTTGCTTGGTTTTGATACCCTCAAAGGATGTCGCCAAGAAGCCCATCGGTGCAAATACCTTTTCTATATCAGATCCAGGTAGGATGTTAGCACCGTCGAAGTGCTAGTTCTCACTTGAACCTGCTCAAAGACAAGCTAGATTCATCCTGCAAATCAGTCCTAATCAGATTATACTAGCAGTTGCCAAGAAGACTGTATAGCAATACCCACCCCTCTATAGATGACTGTTAGTACTTAGGCAGCATGTGCACAATAATCATTAATTCTATTTGGATACAAAGTTCTTTATTCTAGTAGAATAGAGTTCTAGGTAGATGGCTTGGCATTGCTACACTTATCCAGATAACTGCAGTTAGAAAAATCAACAAGTGGCTGTCTTTTTTGTAGCTGTTGCCATTACCTACACTAATTTTGTCTCTGCGTGAATAAGCAGTTTCAGGGACTGGCACTTCATAGTACATTTTCCAAAAAATATATGACTATAAATATTCATGGAAAAAAGTGGTATTTGAAGAGATCTAGTGGTTCTAGGTTCAGTCTGACAATTTATGGACATCTCTGATTGAAGGCCTTTATCCATAACCATTTGTAATGTAATCTCTTTTGATGGAAGCAGCATGTCCATAAGTCATTTTCGTCTTTCTCTTCGCATCCTCGAAAGCATTTGGGAGAGCATGAAATGATTTACATCTTCGTCTGCCCAATATGACAGGTGGCTTGCAATGCTGGCGATCAATGATATGTCAAAGGCTCCCCTAGAAACATCCAATTAGCACCAGAACGCCTAAGTCTATCCGCGTCTTCCCTGGTTGACCCATTCTAGCTGTGATTTCCAGGTGTAATTAAATAATAGCCAAAAATCGAGATAAATGGCAAAAAAAGGTGGCTTACTCTTGTATACTATAGTCCACCCGGCCATTGGAATTCAAAGCCCTAACCTTTGCCTCCTCGACCTTGAGTCTTTTCGCCCGCTCTTCGGCTTCCAGCTGTTCCATGACATTTCCAGACTCTCCTGGTGTATTTTTCTGGCGGTTATGTCTCGATTTCCGAAAACCTTCATAAAGAGTCTCCAATTCTGGATCGATGAGGGTTTGGAAGTCCCCATCAGCTCCTTGTACCTCCTCATTCCAAGGAGTATTGCTATCTTTTTCATTTGAATTCTCAGAGACTGTGCCGCTCTGCGTCTGTTGTGAGCGAGCAGTTGCAGACCCCGAGGCTGCCGGGTCTTCAGAATGTAGTCCCAAACTACGATTCAACAGGCTGCTGGCGACCCCCGATGTGAAGTTTGTCCACAAGGAGCCCACACGAGAACTGATGTTGGAGAGACTCTGTCCTGACGTAGTCCAAATACTCTTTTTCACTGACGGCAATGGCTGCGGTTTAAGAGCAGTCATAGCTGGAGATATCAAAGGTTCGAGACGGTAGCTTACAGGGTCAGACGGATGGAAGATATTGTACAGCTGTTCACACTTAGGTGAAGAGACACTGGGAGGAATTTCGTAATGCTTATGTCTTCCATGGGCATTTCCAGTATTGTTCAGCGACTGCGGAGAACCCGGTAAGGACTCGTTGGTGAAGCTCACTGGGCTCCGTGTTTCGTGCCCGACGAATGATCTGCCGACGATGGTTTTTCCCTTTAACATCTGGAAAAGAGCAATGGGAGATCCTAGACAGAAGAATTCTTGACAGTCAAAGTCAAGAGGGTAAGTGTTAAGTTCCTTTAGCGTTGTTTCAGATTTTCCATCCTTCATAGCAGGACCTGCACGTGGATCATTAACAGAACTGCTCTGTTGGCGGCAGAGAATGTCAAACATAATAGCACTCCCAAGAGAATGACCACAGAGACTGACTGAACCCCGGAATGACGGGTTGCGAGATTTAAAGAGTTTGAAAATTCGGTTGCACTCCTGTTGAACTATGCTCATAATCTGCTCACGATAGGCGCTTTGGTAGAGAAGTACATCCATTGCGAGATCAGAAATGAGATTTCGAACTGCAGGAACACCTTCAAGAGTGATATCGGCCAGGCTTGGATACTGCTCATCTTCGGCGGTAAGGCTATTCGGATCAGCAAGGTCCAGTTCTTTGCGATGTTGTCGTGATCCCTGCCGCGGAAAGTCGAGTAAGTGCCGCCAACATCTAAACTTGGTTAGCAACAGGTTGAATGTTCTCTGAAATATTGTGACTGAAGCGCATGGCTCATAATCATGCTCAATGTACAAGGGTTCCTTACACAGGGAGGACCTGAACACGACAGTTCTTCTTGGCATCAGCATATGGGGAGTTGAGTGCCTGTAGGTCAGGAGAAGCGGCATAAACGCTTTTCATTGTCTTCCTTAAGACATTCACATCATGTACAAAATTGACGCTTTCTAGTCGCAACCCAAGTCGCTGCCCAATTCCATGAGTGACAAGCACCAGATGATCAATCTCCCTTCCTCTTTCCTCATCATCAGCCTCTCTAGAGTCTTCCATTTCCTTTTCTTCCCGTTTTCTGGCCTCCTCTTCAAGAACAGTGGTGTCTCGTGTTTCACTGGTTAATGATGACATCTGCTGTTGCAGTGTTGCCTTCTGCTCGTTCGAAACGGTATGTTCAGCTTCCGGATGTTGGTCATTAAGGGTGGATGACGAAAAAGAGTCCGGTGCAGACCTCCGCTTGAGTCGGTTAAGATCATCGTGGCTATGCTTTGAAAGCGGGTCATCTCGAGACTTCATCTGTCGCGATGACCTTGCCTCGGTGCCTTTCGTTTCCATCCCCTCTCTCGGTCTTCTCTGCTCGCTGTACCCACGAATTACCTTCGTACCACCTACACCACCAAATCTCTGGTAAACCGTACTACTCATGCGAGACATAAAATCATCATAATTTAACCAAGCCGTTGATGAATCCTGATAAGTGACTGTGCAGTTCATGTACGCGCCAAAGAGGCGATAAACTGACGGTTCGCTCATACAAGTGGATGGAATTTCGCTGCCGCCTTGTTCAGTATTAGAGGAGACACCAGTGTCTTTGGTTATCGCTGCATCCGGGACAGAGCTGGAATGACTTGAGATCTTTCCAGTTTCATTGATGGAGGATGTCCCAGGGGTTCGAGACTTTGTTCTCGAGTGTTGATCTTTAACTTTCCATGGTTTCACCTTCAAGTATCCTTCTTCAAGTTGTGTAGCTAGGTTTTCTTCGCATGGTTTAAGTGTTGATCCTTCTTGAAAAAACCAAGTTCCCCGACGCACTTCATATACAGGGCCCAACCAGTATGCAGGACTGAGTTCTCTCCTATCGACATCAACGTCAAACAAGTAGTCCTCGTTAACGGGAACCTTTATTGTTTCATTCAATTCCTCCTTGGTGTTTTCCTTGACTCCGGCGGCATGCTTTGAATCCTCACGCCTCAATAGTTGCTGGAAAGCGGCTTCGATAGACTGGGAGTCTCTGGACGAAAATGGAACAAACTTCTTCGGTGGAGGCAAGGGCTTAGACTCCGTCTTTTCGAGCCCTAGGAACGCAGGCTTGGACTTAGGTGTGTCAACTGCATAGAACCACCTAGGCTGTAGAGGAGGGCAGTCCTCGGGATAACGAAGTAGGCTCAGCCGCTGCCTGTGAGAAATCGTGTGATCCTCTCCTTGTGTTCGCTGTAGAGCGGCATCTCGTCCGGTACCGGGGTCTGCTGCGCCTGGCTGGGGGGTTGTACTCCTGGGGGAAGTCCAAGGAGAAATCGCTCCAAGAAAGGAAGACTTCGTTTCGGCACCCGGCATCGTCCTCCGGTAAAGCCGGGAAAGAAACGGTAGACGAGCCACGTCGTCAAGCCCAATGAACAAGCGACAATAAAAATGGAAGCCTTGAGGAAGAAGTTTTGTTTCAGGCAACTAGATTTGCTTCGGGAGAGATGCTGCTGCCTGGACCTCAAGAACAAAGTGGACGCACAAACTCTAGAAAAGGGACAGTGAGGTCTATAGTATATGAGCAGTTTGGCTAAGCCTGAAGAACTATATTGAATGAATCCAGCTTTTGGTTAATATTCAGCATGCAACAGGTGCTTGTGGTCCATAAACAGACTATTTGAAAGGTGTAGGGGATGTTGGATTCAAGTATATTTCCGTGCGTAACCCAATGAAAATAGCTAAGTAAAAGGACGACTAGATAACTAGGGGTAATTCGATTCCTGGTTGTGCAATAGTATGTGTGGCCAAAATGCTGTACCTCCAAAACTCTTCGAGGTCGTTTCCTGTACGTCAACATCATCCGGCACCGTGGGTCTCCACAGCTAGCGTCATCGTGTTTGCGCCCAGCCTACTGCAACTGCATACGGAGTACAGAAGTGGGGAAGTGAGAAATGGACGACGACGCAACAAGGCTCATGGAGCAAGCACTCGTCTGGTTTTTCAGTCCTGTCGTAAATTAATATTAATTGATCGATCAATCCTCCCTCACTCGTATCCGGCTCTGGTACGCAGGTGCATCTCCCCCCCTTTTTTTTTTGAGTCAAATCTGAGCAGTCAGCCTTCGGGCCCGCATCGTTCTTCGGATTTTTCCATAACAATCCATCGTCCTCCCGCGGGCGCGCAGCGCAGCACAAATACCTTGGACTCAACTAGCAAGCTGACCAACGTCGCATTGTCTATACCAGTAGACCACTCAAACAGAAATCTGCATTGAAAGGAGTGATTTTCCATCGTTATCATTTTTTCTGTTTTTTTTTTTTCGATAACTGGCCCTGCTTTTCCTGGCCCATTGACGCAATTAGAACTCGTTGGTCAAAAGTACCCCGCTCTCATCAGCCGGCCAAGAATTCAAGTCACAGGAAACGCGACCAGCAATTGCAAAATGAACGTTCTGAAACTTCAAAAGTAAGTTCGATTTCCTTCGACATATCCCTGTTTTCAAACCCGGGTTTCGTGCCTATACCTCTTTCTTTGCCCACGTCATGCTTCTGTGCTCAAGTCCATCGGTTACGTAGGAAGTATCCGCAATTCCAACAGAACGAGTTATTCTCTCTCCAGGAAGCCTTCAGAAAGCTAGATGTTGATGACAAGGGCTATCTCGATGAGGCCACTGCAATTAAGGCAACGCAGCAATCGGAACGACAACCATATGACGTCGTGAGACAAGCATTGAAAGAAGTGGAGCTCGACAGTTCCCGCCGGGTCGAATTTGAAGACTACGTTGACGTACGTGCCATGATTTTGTGCAAATCTAGTATGCAATATGGCTGATATGATAAACTACAGCTTATTTCAAGGGTCCGCGGGCTTGCTGATACGCCTGCTAGAGTTCCTGGCGCTTCTGTTCAGGCTGCAACTCCTCTGCCAGGGAACGGTGTAGGCTCATCTCGTCATGTTTCCAAAGGAAGCGTCGGAGGCAAAATCCACGTCCCAGGATCTTCTGCCAATGTAACTCACACAATCAACGAGGATGAAAGGCGTGAATTCACAAGGCACATCAATGCCGTGCTAGCTGGCGACCCCGACATTGGCCATCTCTTGCCATTCCCCACAGACACGTTCGAGATGTTTGATAAATGCAAGGATGGGTTGGTCTTAGCCAAGCTTATTAATGACAGTGTGCCAGATACTATCGATGAACGTGTCTTGAACAAACCTGGCAATAAGATTAAACAGCTAAACGCCTTTCACATGACAGAGAACAACAACATTGTGATAAACTCTGCAAAAGCTATTGGGTGTTCTGTTGTCAACATCGGCAGTGGTGACATTATCGAAGTGCGGGAACACCTGATTCTGGGATTGATCTGGCAGATCATACGTCGCGGTCTCCTAGGAAAAATCGATATCAAGCTTCATCCAGAACTTTACAGGCTCTTGGAGGATGATGAGACGCTTGAACAATTTCTTCGATTGCCCCCAGAGCAGATTCTACTCCGTTGGTTCAATTATCACTTGAAAAATGCCAAATGGGAGAGAAGGTGAGTTTTGATCTATTCAGATAACGGTATCTAGTATGCTCATTGTGTTCTTATTGCAGGGTTACCAATTTCTCGAATGATGTTAAGGATGGAGAGAATTATACTGTCCTCCTTAACCAGTTGGCTCCTGACCTCTGCTCTCGTGCACCTCTTCAGACAAGAGACCTACTTCAACGTGCAGAGCAAGTCCTGACGAATGCGGAAAAGCTCAACTGCCGCAAATTCTTGACTCCTACATCGCTTGTTGCTGGAAATCCGAAACTGAATCTTGCATTCGTCGCCAACCTTTTCAACACTCACCCAGGTCTCGACCCGATTACAGAGGAAGAGAAACTTGAAGTTGAAGACTTTGATGCCGAAGGAGAACGAGAAGCTCGAGTGTTCACTCTTTGGCTGAACTCCTTGGATGTGCAGCCTCCTATCAATTCACTATTTGACGATCTTCGAGACGGAACGATCCTATTGCAGGCTTACGACAAAGTCATTCCCGGCAGTGTAAACTGGAAGCACGTAAACAAGCCACCTGCATCTGGTGGGGAAATGATGCGTTTCAAAGCTGTGGAGAACACGAACTACGCCATCGAGTTGGGGAAGCAAAACCGCTTCTCTCTCGTAGGTATTCAGGGAGCCGACATCACGGATGGACAACGTACTTTGACTCTCGGGTTGGTATGGCAGCTTATGCGAAAAGATATCACGAATACCCTTTCTTCTCTGGCCCGGCGGTTGGGCAAGCATGAAATCACTGATGCAGAAATGATCCGCTGGGCAAATGATATGTCTCGCAAAGGCGGTCGAACCTCTTCAATACGCAGCTTCAAAGACGCCTCTATTGGTACAGGCGTGTTCCTCTTAGACGTCCTCAATGGCATGAAGAGCAATTACGTCGATTACGATCTTGTGACGCCGGGCCTAACCCCTGAAGATGCATATGCAAATGCGAAGTTGAGCATCAGCATCGCTAGAAAGATGGGTGCGACTATCTGGCTAGTGCCTGAGGATATCTGTCAAGTGCGGTCCCGTCTTGTGACAACTTTCATTGGTATGTATATTGGGCATCAAGTCGTTTCTTCGTGGGCCCGAGTCACTGTTTCTAGTGCTTGGAATGCTGACGGCGACTCAGGTTCTCTTATGGCCACGTTTGAGAAGATGTGAAATATAAAATTGGCGTGAGGGCCAGATAGGTATCGATTTCGGCAGATGTTTGGTGAACGTGTTTCATCCGTTTTCGATGACTACTACAGGCAGATTGTAATGCGTGAACAGCGCCTGCTTCTCCCATATGCATCTATATGATTGCTTTTAGTTTCGACTACATCATATTTATTAGATGTATATCTGTTTTTTCAACATTCATGGATGCTGTGAGGGGACAGGTTTCACCTCTTCGTGCTGCGCTGGTAGCATATGCTGAAGAGAGAAAATTCACACATTATAAATCCTGTTGGATTCCATTTATCTCACAGAATTTGCTATGTTGAATATGTGATACAAAGTTTTAAAAAGCTCTTTGTCAGGGTCTAGGTAAGACATAGAACAACCACTCGCCAATGGGTTTTAGAGGTAGTGGTTGAACCAGTGAACAGCCTGTAGAAAAGCTTGTTCTTTTGCAAACCTCAGAACTGGTTTGCTGGGATCTGCACGGACTGCGAAGCCGTGTTCAACACCACTGAAAAGATTGATCTGATAAGGTTGGGCAGTCTTAGTAAGTGTATCCTCGGTCTCATGACGTTTCTCGGCGGGAATATAGCATCGGTTTCTGTTCCGGATTCTTCAGTCAACGCCTATTCGTTTCCACAGGGATATTCAACAAGTTCAAAATCCACTGACCTGCTGCAGAAATTGATAGGGGACCCTGGATAGCAGCCAGCTCTTCAGTGTCGACGAAGCTGGGGTGGGCAACATAGCCGACATCAACTCTCTTCTCTGCTGGCTTCAGAAAACGGACAACATATTTTGCCTATTATGTGGATGAGTATGATTCTTCTCTTATGGCACTGTAGTTTCCACTGGGGACTGGGGGATGACTTATGGAACGACAAATTCAAAACATACTCCAAAACAGTAGCCCACAGCTCCAATTTTTTCACATCCCAGACAGGCCCGCATCTCATTCAAAACCGAATCTACTACTGGATCAACAACCGGAGGAAGATGACCAGTGAGCCAGGCTTTAAAGTCAAACCCAGCAGGCCTGTTCAAAGGGATCGGATCGCCATGAAACAGATCGGGCATGACCACGAAATACCCATTTGCAGCAAATTGGTCAGCAATCAGCTGCGCATTGATGAAGCGATGTCCAATGACATCTGTGAGAATCAGAATTGCACGTTTTGTGGAATGATCCGCAGGATATGAGAGATAGGTCTCAACTATTACTTGACATCAGATGGAGACTCCTTATCAAGATAAACAGAAGGGTGACGGGGG